AAAGGAGAAATAGTTGAAGAGCTTCTCAAAACCACAAGAACTATGGATGCACAGATTGCAGGTAGGAGGGAATACATGTATATTTAGATTCACTGTAATCTATAAGTACATCCAGATCAACTTGCTAACGGCCAACATTCAGGGAACAGAAAAAAGAATGAAAGGAAGAGGTCAGATTAAAAAGTGAATGGCCCAGGCATGCAGAGATCAAGAAGCTTTCGTCCTCAGACATCCCATGTGCTTCAGTCTACAGTTGCCTGTATGTGGTGCTCAGTTCCTTAGCCATCTGTCTACACTATTGTACAATACGAAAAAGTGTGCTAGCATTACCTGGGTGCTCAGAGGCCAAGCTGCTTAGTTCCAAGGCTTATATTTCAGCTAATCCAGCCATAGCTAGAAGCAAGGTAGGATTATGAAGCTCTGCCTAGACCCATGTCATCCTGAGTCTGTCCCTACTCTGTTCTGATTATGAGACAAGGTGTGCTGTTTCTCTTTATTCATTAGAGGGTGGGTTCTAAGATGTTCTGCAGATTCCTGAACTGAGGATAGTACTGTATCATATATCTATGAAAAGTTTTAATTTATAAGTTAGACATAAATACAGTAAGTAGTGATAAGATGGATTTATAAATATCTTTCTCTCTCTATATATATTATACTGTAATGAGGCTTTTTTTTAATCTAGGAATTTTTTCCACAATGTTTTTCAAAATCATTGGTAAAGGGGAACTAATGTATAGTGTTTCCACATCTGTTGTCTCATAGAAGCAAAAGAAACAAATGTGTACATTCAGAGTTGGGGCTATCACTTCACAGCTTGGAACAGAGTTCCTAGGGAGCAGAGTACAACAACCTTCATGCTGAGATGAAAGAACCAGAGCAAAGCTATGTGTAAGTGCAAGAAGATTCAGTTAATTAATGATTCTCTGGCACTTACTGGCATGGCAAAGAAGAAATAAAGGCAAGGAGAGAAGACATAAAAAAGAAATACACTATCACCACACAAAGAGTAACTGGCTAGACATGCAATTTTATTTTAGACCAGCTAAATTATGACACTGTCATTATGGTTACTTTACTGGTAACAGGCTGCTAGGGTATTGCAATTACCTCCTCACATTAGTTTGAACTACAGGAAACTGCCAATAGTCATTGGTATTTGACTATATTAAAAATAATTTATATGAATAATCACAGTCAATCCTTCTGGTTTCAAATCTACAAACCCCGTTTCCCATATTAAAAAATAATCAGCTCTGTAGAAAAATGCTTTAGTACCATTTTTAAGTTGCACCTTAAAGCTATTGTGTATTTAGGTCATAAATTCAGATTATTAGTTGTGGAAAGGACTTCAATTTGTAGGTACACAGATTTGTAGGGAATTCCTGATAATGAAATGAAAAGAGAAAGAGAGAGTAACTGGAGAGTAGTTAGCAAGTAAAATGTTGAAGTACAGTGGTCACAAGTGTATGGTTTTCATAAGAAATACATGTAAGAAAGTAAGAAAATAAGCCAGCCCAGGCATGAAAGTTTGTGAGACTCTTTTCTCCAATAAACCATTCAGAAAACTGGAAGTGGCATTGTGGCTCAAGTGGTAGAGCGCTGGCCTTTAGCTGAGCTGAGAGTGCGCAGGCTGAGTTCAAGCCCCACGACCAACAACAACAAAAAAGAGTAAGAAAATAAAAATGGTATTTCAAAGAGACTTTGCTAGGAAGAGGTAAGAAAATTTAAAAGCCTACTTAGTAACTCCTGGGGCTAAGGGCATACAATACAAACAGCTGGCTGAAGTTTGCAAGACACAATGCAGGTAGCCATGGTGTCAGATAAAGGTTCCATCTTCTCAAAACTCTTGACTCATAATATTCTAGGTTTATTAGAACAAGACACATTTCTGTCTTCTCCTAGAAAAATATACAAAGCCAATGATAATTCCAATGTGAATTACACTGTTAGTATTATTCAGTGGACAATCAAGATGATTATTTTTCTTAGTTCAAGTGTTGAGTTTTTCTCAGATTAAAAAATGAAAACTAGCCAGGCACCAGTGACCAGTGGCTCACGCCTGTAATCCTAGCTCCTCAGAAGGCTGAGATCTGAAGATTGTGGTTCAAAGCCAGCCCGGGCAGGAAAGTCCGTGAGACTCTTCTCTCCAATAAACCACTAGAAAATGGGAAGTGGTGCTGTGGCTCAAGTGGTAGTGTGCTCACCTTGCGCTGAAGAGCGCAGGGCCAACGCCAAGCCCAGAGTTCAAGCCCCATGACACACACAAAAAAAAAAAGAAAAGAAAAGAAAAATGAAAACATAAACTACTCTTTTTAGTCACAATATTCTTTTACCAATAATCCCTCTGATGGTTTCTGGGAAACCACTAAAAGAAGATAAATAAGTCTAAGGCTATATAAAACACTGGTTCAAGTCCCTGTACACTATTACTTTACTAACCGTGTAAACTTAGTCAAGCCAGTTTATACTTCTAAATGTGTTTCTTCATCTTAAAAGTATGGGTAATGTTATCTCAAAAGTTGTAAAAATTAAATGACACAATGCAAGCGGATCACTAAGCATGACACTGGCATGATGGGAAAGCTCAAATAAATGAGCGTTGTAAATGACTACTAAAGAAAGTAGTCACATACCATGACCTTAGTTGGAAAGCTGAATCACAGAGGGTCAGATGCAAGTGCTTCAAGGAGCAAGACAGCAGCAAGCATGCATAAAAAGTGTAAGAATCCTAGTCCTCTTTTCCTTGCTTCAAGAACTTTAGGCAAGTCTTGTATTCACTCAATTTCTCTATTTTCAGAACAGAACTAGAAAAATGAGGCAATTCTTCTAACATTTCACATCGGAACCAGGAAGTCAAAAGAATGAAAATAAGTGCAAAACTGTACAAAAATATAAGAAATAGCAATGTTGAATGTGAGGAAACTTTGCTATCAGAAGGGAAAGGAGACAAAACCAACTACAAAAATACTTGCTTGGGGTAAAAGTACTATATGCTATCAATTTCCTGTCAAGACTCAATTGTTGATACAATTTTCAGAAGAGTAATTTGTAATAAAAGAAGCTAATACAAAATTTTCAAAAAGTATAAAGTAAGAGGCAACCACAAAAATCTAAAAAAATTACAAAGAACTTCATAACTATAAGACACAGGAAGAAACTAACATCTAAAATGTTCATATTAAACCGTAAATCAACTATTATTATTTTGTGGGTCATGAGGATTGAACTCTGGGCCTGGACGCTGTCCCTCAGCTCTTCAGCTCAAGGTGAGTTCCCTACCACTTGAGCCTCAGTGCCACTTCCAATTTTCTGATGGTTAACTGGAGATAAGAGTCTCATGAGGGCTGGGAAGATGGTTCAGTGGTACAGCGCTTGCCTTGCATGCCTGAGGCCCTGCGTTCGATTCCTTAGCACCACATAAGCAAAAAGAAAAAAGCCGAAGTGGCGCTGTGGCTAGAGTGCTAGCCTTGAACTGAAGAGCTGAGGGACAGCGCCCAGGCCCAGAGTTCAGGCCCCAAGACCAGACCCCCCCAAAAAAGTCTCATGGACTGGCTCTGAACCCGGGGATCCTCAGATCTCAGCCTCCTGAGTAACTAGGATTACAGGCATCAGCCACCGTGCCCAGCTCAACTATTAAATTTTAAATTCAGTTGGAAGAGTATGGCCATTCACTTGTCTTTAATTTACTTGTCAGACATACTTAAATGAGTAAGAGGAATGACTAGTTTCTCAGTAGAGTGGTCTACAAGAACTGGAAAAGTGAACCCCCAGTTTAGCATAAGTCAAGTGCTTATTCCTTTATTCCACACCATTTAAACTATATAACTTTGCAGCCATCCTTTCTCCACTTCACACTAAGAAAAAGAAACAGACTATTTTCATTATGCCTGGTTGACAAAACATATGGGAGCAATAACTCTATAGACATATGTACATCATAATAGGAAGCAATCCTATTTTAATGTAATTTTAAAAGAGGTTTTAAATAGACTCAAGCTACTAAAAGTACACATCTGAAGCTTGCAACTAAAGACACTACATCTCTAATTTATTCAGCAGATTCATATAGTTGGGCTAGAACTTCTAAGATTATTCTTTCATCAATATTCAAGATAATGAGAAGGCTAATTCTCATTCACAAGAAAGAGGATTTATACAAGTAAATCTCCCATAGTAGAGGATAAGAGACTTAATTCTGCTCCATTTGGGCAGTGTCTCTTTTTTTCATGTCTGATTTTGTCTTACTGTTTGCTGGTAGAAAGAACAAACTGATTGAAAACTGGTTCTAAAATTCTAATTTTACTTTTGTCTTACAAGTACAGCATAAAACTTTAATATCTTTAAAAAGATTTTCTTGTTACTTTTAACTGCTTGCATTAAGACACGGGCCTGAAGAAATGGGAAATGAGGTTCTTTCAGTAAAAACATTGAAAAACAAGATTTCATCTGGCCTTCCCATCATCACTTCAAGAATTGTTTGGTAGTTACATCATCAGGAAATAAAATACTGTCCTCTGAGGACCCTTACTAGCTACAAAGGGGAAAGAGAAGGTTTGAAGGCTCGATCAGCCCATACTTATCCAAACCCTCGACTGCTCCCCGTCTTGTCCTGCCCCTGCCTGCCACTCCAAAACGAATAGGAGAAAAGTGTATTCACAAAAGCGTACATAAGGAGGACAGTACTCTATTAACGATTCAAGGCAGTAACGGGGGTTGTAGGGACCCAGGAGTAAAAAAGATTACAAGTAAAGCAACCATGACCACCCCCCCCCCGGGCTTGGAGGGGCCGGCAGAAGGTGCTGGCCTCTCCAGCCCACAGACAATTCCCGCAGTGGGGAGCAGGTGACCGAGGGTCCCTTCTGGCCGCCGGACCTCGGGGGAGCCGGGGCGCATTCCGCCGCCGCCGCCCAGGGTCTGGCTGTCACCGTGCCCCGCCGCCCGCGCCGCACATGCCGAGCGCCTTATAAGGCTGCGCGGTGACGTAACGCCCCTAGGCCGGGCGCGCTCGGCGGCGGACTCGCATTGTTCGGGCGCCTCCCGGAGCGCACACAGCCTGCTCGCAGCGCCCGCGACTGCCGCTCCGGCCCCGGCTCTGCCGCCGGCAGCTCAGGTAAGCCCGGAGCGCCGCTCCGCGCCAACGCCCCGCACTGCGGTCGGGTCCGGAGGCCTGGAGGCAGGGAGCGCGCCAACGACTGCAGACAGGTTTCTCAAGCGCGTTCAATGAGTGCGGCGCCTAACCCTTTTCCGACTCACACAGAACTTTTCAGGGGAAGTTTTCTCCGGCAGGGAACACAGGTTCGGGACCTGAGGTAGAGGGGAGGGCTGGGTGCTCCTTAGGTGTTCCCACAAGTGGGGGCCACTGACGTCCAGCCGGGCTCGGGCTCTGGGACTGGGCGGAGGTGGGGACGGGACTGGCGAGTAATGCGTTGCACACCACCTCGGACTCTTCCTGCACTTAGACCTGCCCACGGCTCACCGGAGCAGAGTGCGGAAACACCTACCCCAAGATAAAGGAAAGGTTGGTGCCCAGTTTCTCTTTGCCTTTATCCTCATCAGTCTCAAAAGACGGAAAAAACAAAACCCAAGCATTATCTGGGAATTGGGGTGAAACGACCTCTAACATCTTAGAAATACTGTTCTGACTCAAAGCACAGGTCAGTCTGAACAAGTTCTAACTCTACCTCAACCTCAGTCATTGGCTAAGTGGCGTGCTACACTGAAAACCAGTTTCAGAGGGCTAACATTATGGTTCATGTGTGAAAGATACTAATTTTAAAGTTAAGCAGTGGGATGATTTTAATCAGTGGCATTTTGAATCATAATTACATCTACACTCTGAATAGGCGATGGATAAAAATGTATTCTTCCAGTTGATAGTATTTGGCGGATAATGAAAAGCTACATAATAACTCAGCAGAGAACAGTCTATGTCCTGTTCCAGTTTAGAGCAATGAGAAAATGAGCAAATAATTTCTCCCTCCTCAAAGTATCTGGTCTGAACACACACTGTGAAACAAAAATTAAATGAAATGTGAGCTAGAATTAATTCCTTTTTAAGTAGAATCTGTTTTCTAGGTATATACAATACAAGCTCAAAATTATAGGGTGTCATTTACATTGACTTAATGAAAAATGAAAAATGCTCAATATTATTTGCACTGGAAATGCCATGTAACGTAACTAGTTGGATGTTTAACAGAAAAGTGCTTACAGCTGTTTCAAATGTGTGTTACAAATGCATATTTGTCAGTGAAAGGAAAAAGCCAGATGTAAAATTTATCATTTGAAGCAGCATTTTTAGAATATATTTGCTTAAAACACTCATATTTCTAAGTAGTTTGTTTAGGTTGAGGTTTTGTTTCTTGTTTTTTTTAAAGCATATAACATTGGTGCTATTTTTGCTCTTTTGGGTTTTTTTTGTTTTGTTTTGCTAATTTTGTTTGGTACAATGCAAGACTTGGTTTTGTATCCTAAAAGAAAAATTACATGGTATCTTGCCTGAAGATTGTGTGTGTAAAAGTGCAAATTTGTACCCAAAAGTAAGATTTTCCCCAAACCATGATTTCAAACCTAGGGAAGTCTCCCATAATGAAAAGGGCCAACACCCATGACATTGTAGAAAAGTACAGAATATTCAAAAGTTGTTTATTGATAGAGGCAGAATTTAGAAGCTGAAAAATTGTAGCTTGGGGAAAAAGGTATTCTGCACTTCGAAACTAGCAGAGATAGGGGAAAAAGAAAACATCAATTACTGTTTCAGCTATACCCAAAGTACCATCTGTACCACAAATGATTACTCAACTATTGAAAATCAAAACCTCTATCAAAAGCTCTAATAAGCTGGATTTCTAGAGTCTGCCTTTATAATTTTAAAGCATACAGCATCAACTTTAAAACTTTTTATGACATTTTAATATTCTACAGTGTTCTTTCTATTATTAGCTTTAAAACATGATTTTAAAACCTTAATCAGATATGAAGGTGTTTTAAAACTTAAAGTTACCATAAATAAATAATCTCACAGGTCTTTAGATAAGCATTTTTTTAGTTCTTGGGACAATCTCTATGATGGGAAAATGTTTTTGATAGAGTGAATATGAAATTTTACACTTCCACACTGACCACACAATTTATGCTTAACAAGTTTATTTTTCACTTTATGGCAGTTTATTTTAGCTGTCAATTACTGGTATTTCTGTAATAGTTTCCTAATGCTATGATGGAGTCAATAATGATAGCCAGTATGAAAATATGAATCAAGCCCTGATTCCCTTCATTTTCCAGTTTCCTAATTTCCATTTTCTTCTCCTACAGAAAGAGAGAGAGAGAGAGAGAATAAAATCAATAACCTTTTGGATTTCATTTTAAGGTTTTTTTTTGCCCCTTTACCTCTAAAACTGTATCTTTGGTAATAAATGGATTTTGAGGTTAAAAATGTGAATGGGCTAAAAATGAAATTCCAGTAATTCTTCCTAGGTCATGGTCTAGCTATATCTAATGTTTCAAGGCAAAGTGAACATTTTATAAGGCAAATGAGAAAAAAACTAATAGTCTCTTATTTAAAGAAAAAAGCCAGGAAGAGCAGGAAGATAACTGTTTATAAATGACTAGATATTGTGGAGTAAGAGCCAGAGGATCTAAAGCAATATTGGTCTCAAACTCCCTCAGGAACTAAAATGTCCCATCTGTTGTTCACATAGCCAGTCATTATCTTGGAAAAATTTAACACATCCTACCTTATCCTCTTGGGTATATCATTAATTTTAAGTGATTTTGAGTTTGCCTGATTTGTATTCAAATTTAGTTTTAATTTAAAGTTAGTTTCTAAAATTTAAGTTTAAATAAGGTTTTAAAAATGTAGAGATACTGCATATTCAAAGGAATATTTCTATCATTCTTTCTGCCATCCCCACAATATTTCTGAACCATCTTTACTTCATGTTTAATGTATGCTGCAATAATTTTTAGGCCTTCCCCTGTCTGGTTATCTGAATTATGGAGGACATTCGTGTCTTGAGTCATTCAATTAGGTGCAGTAATTCCAAGGGAATCATTACTCACACTGTTATAAGCACTTTCACATCCTTCTCTTTTTAAAAACAGAGTTGATATTCTCTCTCTAACCATTATCTGTACCAAAACTATGCCTTTGGGTAGAAAAGCTGGGCAAACAAAGGTGAAAAGGCACATCAAGTAAAACTCATTTGATTATTATTATATTATTATTTTAGACATGAGAGAAGCCTCTTCATGCTTATTCTCACAGATGCTTCAGCAGATTAAGACAGGACAACAGCAGTTGTAATTCTAAGCCAAGAATAGTAGAAGACACATTAGCAGTAGTCTTTCTTTACTCTGACCACCTTCACAATTCTTTGCTCTACTGCTTCCAAAGTAATACTAACTCTTAAGAATACAATTATTTTCTGATTTTTCCCTGATTTGTTCATGAAGTATGAATGTAGCTAAGTATTAAAAGAAATAGGTAAATGTAAACTGGACAGGTAGAGGTGTAGCCATGCACCCCACCGCTCATTTCTAATAACTACCAATTCTAGCCAAAAGGATTGTTATTATAAGCAAAAAAGGGCATGTATTAGATATGAATAGCAAACACTGTACTCTACAGATATGAATTGGAAAAGTGCCTTAGTAAGTTCCACTGAGTGAACAAATGGTATACCATGAAGCTCTAGAGTATGGTCGTACACAAGCACGTACAACTATAGAGTATGCAGAACTTTATTTGGGAAGAGGTAGTGAAGGTTATCTGATTCACTTTATTATAGAAATTGATACCCACTCTGTGACTTGCCTGGAGCTGTACTACTACCCAAAGGTAGCACCAGGGCCACCTACATTCTTTGACTACATAGCCCATTATTGATTTCATCTTTAAGTTAGTGCTTGGAAAAGAAGCAAACAGAAGTCCCAGAAGTTATATTGGCACAGTAGGTGGTAATTTGGACATAAATTCATTTTTACAAAGAAAGTGGAAAGGAAAGGAGTTAAATATTAATACAGTTCAGTCAAACCATAACAATGGAAGAGAAAAGAGAACAAAGGAAACAATAAGAAATGTACTTAAAGGTGGATACAAAACTCATGCTCCACTTGGAGATGAGAGATGCTCTGGGAAGAGTTTGTACACGGAGCCAAAGATACAGAGTCAAAGATACAGAGTTTTCAATGGCTAACTTGAGATGTGACTTCTCAATATCTTCTAACTAAGCATTTTATACTTGTCTGATTTCTACAGCTTATAATTCAGGGACTCAACTTCCCCCCAAAACACAGAGGAAGTCACATTGAAGAATGTGACTTGGATGATATACCCTGAATTATTTTTCTTCACACATGCATTGGAAATGTGACACTAATTTATACATTTATTACTTGTTTACTGTATGTCTTCTAGATTATAAACTCCTACAGGATCAGCTTTAGTCTCTAGGAAAGTATCTAGCTATAGTTAGTATATAGTATTAGGAAAGAAGAATATGGGATAAATGAATTACAACCCAGAAGCTTCTTACTGGGGAAAGAAAAGAGAGAGAGACAGAGAGAGAGAGAAGGGAGAGAGAAGAGAGGGAGGGAGGGAGGAGGGAGGGAGGGAGGGAGGGAAGAAGGAAGGAAGGAAGGAAGGAAGGAAGGAAGGAAGCAAGGAAGGAAGGAAGGAAGGAAGGAAGGGGAGTACTTCTGACAATGGTAAACTAAGGAGGACATTGTTTTTTATATTTGTTCAGGAGCCCCAAACAAATCCCCAAATTAACCACATAGTGCTGACTTACAAAAACAAAAGCAAGAAAACAAGTCAGGCTCACATTAAGTCCAAACAGTGAAGTCAGGTGCTTCTCTGCTCTCTGCCCACATCCATCTACCTCACTTTAACTCCCTCCCCAAAATAATGAGATTGAGGGTGGTGAAAGAATACCAGGTGAACCGCCCTGGGGTATGGAATGTACTGGAAGCAAATGTACAACAGTACAGTGGTTTTGTCTTTAATGAAGGGGTGGATTCCTCTGAATTTCTCTAATCTCTGTTCCTGGGCTAAGGGAATAAAAGATGCTATCATGGGGCCCAAATAGTTTATCCTTATGGAAACTAGAA